AGATGGACATCTTCTGTACTCCCGCCAGGAAAAGTTCCTTTGCTCTATCCTTTTCTTTGTTCGGCTGTGAATGAATGGATGACGAGTTTTAAATTTAGCACAAGTTTTTATACCTTTTGCAGTCGTTACAATTTCGTTAAGATAATCAGTGAAGCTCTTCTATGCCACCAAAGGATCGTGATCATCTTCTGGGAGGACCCATTGCTTAAGTATTGTCAGGTTTTGCAGCTTTTTGTAGTCTATGATGGCACGAGTTTTGATCTTTCGGTTTTCTTGGGTAAAGGCGTAGCCTGTATAATCAAACTTCAATACGCCATGATCACTACGTCCTAGTGGCGACGTGACATTGACAGATTCCACCATTAGCTCTTCGTTAGTCAGCATTAAATCCAGTGTTGATGGTTCGTGACCTGGTCCAAATCTGGTGGGTTCTGTTACATGGTTGTACAGTTGGTGCAATCCAATCAACCGAGACAATCGTCTCTCGAATAACTGGCGGGAAGTCCTCNGGTACACAACACCGATTAGACACCTATCATTTTTGGAGAGTCTTACTGAGCACCATAACGAATCCGGGGCTGCTTCGGGAATATCAAGCTGTTCACACCGCAAATTGTTTCTATGATAAAGCAGCACTCCACCGCCTCGTATAGGATCATCCCGTCTGAGCAGCGACATTCCAGATAGAGGCAATTCCGAGTCGAGAATGTCGGTAGTCAGCCAGATTTCAGTAACGGCAACAATGTCAAATCGATTAGTTTTCCAACGAAGAGAATTTACTAAGGTAACTTCGTGCATTGGTATAAAAACATAAAAGATATCTTCGGCAAAGAAATCTATCTGGGTATGTGGTGTTGTTTCTGCCGACTAACTTGGGATCGGCTAACAATGATTTCTTGTAAATTCGGCTTCGTCGGTGCTGCTGGGTGAACGTGGAGTGATAAAAACCGCACTGGTCGAGGAAGGTGGCGTATTAGTATCGGTTGCCGTTTACGGAATTTGCTGGGATCCAGTATTATTTAATAGTCTTAGGCTTAATTCCGGCGGACCCCTTTTTCTATTATCCTTCCACGAGTGCAATACGAAGTTGGCCATTTCTGGCGTTCCGAGGGTCACTTTCACTATCCTCGGGCCGTTCCCGTGGTAGTTCGGTGAGCTGGATGGACGACTAATTGCCGCAGTAAGAACCTGGGTACAATTAAGCAGTTCTCGAATGAAACTCCATCCCTTGCAGTCGTTTTGTTGGCATAGGGATTCGTCTGGATCGTCCAGTTGAGGGACTCCATGAACTAGAACAACCCGTTTTTTCTCCGATTGCCGCGCGTTTGTTGGGTTAGTGCGGTATTGTGTACGCTGCGTCCAGGGCCTATCTAGAAGTATTCTTGTTCTACACGAATCTTTCTTTAGAAGGTAACTAAAGAGAAGAACGTTTTCCAGGTCCTTCTCGTCTGCAAATGTTACGCGAGTCAATTGTGGCTCCCCAGCATGCGGCGACGATGAATAGCGAAACAGCCGCACGATTTTAACTGGTCGAACGTCGATACCCATTTGGTTACATAAATCAGCCCAGCGATCAAGCTCCTCTGTCTGTTTCTCCCTCGGTGTATTTGTTGTGGGGTCTGGTACGTTGGCGCAAATAACTGTCATTTCGGGGTTGTAAATTTCCTTCTTTATCTTCGGCACTGAATTGTGCTCCTGAATAATCTGAGCTTTAGGCTCAATGATTTGCGCCGACTCTTGATCTCTGGCATTATCCTGTACTTGCATTGCTTCGTCGTCGATTTCGAGACTGGGTATTGACAACACTGTAGTGGGGCCCCTTAGAAAACACAAAGGTCTTTTTGTGGGTCTGCGAACTGGACTGGGAGGGTTGACCTGAGAGCTCAAAACAGTTATCTTTTCTTCCAGTAAAGTGATTTTTTCTTTTGCTTTTTTCTCCGCTGCCGATAGTAGCCTTCAAACTTTTCTGTCATATGTTTCATGCACTTCACTATAGGGTTTTCTGGGCAATCTTTACAAAACCACAAACTGTATGGTTGGATCATGATCTGTTTTATTCGTTTGGTCGACAGTTTTGCACAGGACGGATGAAAGTACTTTAGACAGTGATTGCAGGCAATGCCCGACTCGACGTCCTTTCCGCACGTCAACAAACCACATACTCTTAATCCTTGTGTTGCATTTGATGAGTCAGTCGTAGGCACACTGCGACGGACCATTTTGACCCACTATGAACCGTGAGACAGTAGACGAATGACAAAGGTCAAAACACGCACACACATACACGGACACCGACCGTCTAATCATGTTTGTCTGAACGATGAGTTTGCTCAAATACACAAAACCATTCCTCAATCGCTCCAGTCCACACAGTGGTCCGACGTGATCATCACCCAAACAGACTGTGCACGATGACTGGATGTAAGAAGCGAGGGGAATTCTGAATACATCACGGGATCGCATGACCGAGGTGAGTGGCACAAATAGCAACTACCCGGTTCAGGTCAATCACACTCCCAGTGCATGATCGCTCTTCAGATCAGCATTCCAACCTTCAATACGTACTGAAACACGCGCGAGCGCACGCGCGCATGCCCGCAAAATGTGAGCACACTCAGCATTTCACCAAACAGAGAGGAACAAATCAAATCGAGACTATTCTCAAGGTCATCATCATCCGCCCGCTTCACATACTGCATAAATAGCAAACAATGAAATACAAATGACAAACCCTGTCGTTCGCACTCGTCAATCAGATCACTGAGAAATCATGCCAGCCAATTGCATGCAACAGATCCAGACTCAAACAACCGCACGTCGAGTACTCGTGTCCATAGATCAAACAGAACAGTCGAATCAAAGAGTCCAATGGTATTTCAACAATCTCATGCAACCAAACGACCAAGTGATCTTCGTGCACATTATCCAACCGAAGAGGAACAATTCGTTGTTGGGTCTACGTTTGCCCAAATCTCCGGTTCTCATCGGGACACAGATGCAAATCTGTCGCAAATTGTTGAACGAAGCGAAATCACTGTGTCGAGACTATGTGTGTCGTGCCTCATCGATGCACGGGATCACGGCTCGCGCGTTTGTCTATGTGGACAAACAACCGAGTTCCAAGTTGACTCGAGTCATTCGATCGCATGGTGCAGATTTGGTCTTGCTTACGAGTGAGGACAAACGGATTTTGTTGATGTACAAATCCGAACGAAAACAATCTGATGTGACTGATGATGGTTACGAAGCTCTTCAGATGGACTGCCCATCCTGATCCAGTACTCATCCAATCCGATGCACTCTATTCGAACGGGTTATTATGAAATACCAGTGCTCTCCCCCTCGGTCGATATCTGATGTGGAGCAGGAGGCGTCATGTTTGCGTCATTGCATTTACGTATATCTGTACAAACGTATAGTACATATTCGTCCATGGAGACAGTCATTTGATTTATTCTCACTGTGTCCAATAACACACAATTGCATACGAGCCAGTGTTGTTCTGGTTGATTCATTGCCTGTTCATGGGATCAGTAATAGGATGCATTGGGTGTGTGCTTGTTCGAAGAGCATGTGTCACGTGGAAGCGGCGTTCATCGTTAGTCTATACCTCATGCTAAGTCCATAGAATCTCATTCTGTTCTCGTCGCGTATAGTGGGAATAAATAGGAGCAATAGGGCAATCAAGAGTAATTTATGTTCCCCTAATGAAGAATATTTGAAAATAATGATGGCTGTTTGTTCAAAGTGATTCAAGCCAATTGCTTGCCATCGTTTCATTGTGTGACTTCGTGTAAGACGGAATGGACGAATACTGGACGAATTTAGGAAGCTGATTTGTACAACAAATAAGAAGAAATAACGTGTTCCACGATTGCCAGGGACGCAATATTCCAGTTTCAGTCGATAAAATCTACCTCACAAAGATTTACCAATACAATCACTACGACTTCAGTTGTCCTTGTTGTGATTATAATGTTGCATCTCATTAATAGTCAGTTTACATGAGCTTCAGCACTTGTTATGTCCCTCTGCTCTGGCATGTGTGACTGAGTGACAATAGTTTGAATTCCACAAACTTTATTGCTTTTCACTCTAACTGTGACGTATTCATATCGAATTAGACTTAGATAAGCAAAAGCAAGTGGATTTTCTAACCGATATGTTGCGTTTGTTGTGAGTTTCAAACCTGTGATTGAGTCTAAGAACACTATTGTATTGTATTGTATTCAAGCTTTAGCGAGTTATATATACCAGCTTATATATACAAGCTACGCGTTGGGAAGAACAAATGTGATGAAATTCGGTGTGTTACACGAGTTTGATCAATAGCAATAGGAGCAGTGGACCCAACGAGTATTTCTCGTTTCATAGTCATTGGGACGTGGTATTCGCGGGGTTGATTTCCACACGAATCGATCCAGTACATTTGAAACACCGTGTTTCAACTTATCCACAGTAGTTTCTCTAATCGGTACATTTCACCGATGATATGCGAAGAATGTACAAAAGAGATTTATTAGTTATACAGGTATCCGCCAATAGCCTGCTTGTATTTTTGACGTCATACACTTTCTGTCTGGACCGCACAACTTCTGATTGGTCAGCACGATTCGCCTGTGGTTCGCTATCCAGAAACTGTAACGCCAATGCGCTTGGCTAGTGTCATCTGGAAGGGTTGAACACAAGAGAACTTCGATCCTTTTTTATGTGTTCCATGTGAAATATTCTTTTACTCACAAACAGATGCAACTTCTTCATGGAGCGGACGAATCGGTCGTCCGCCTCTCCGGTACACTGATATTGACTGACCTCTCACTTCCATCGATCCTCAGAGTGTAACGACAGGGTGAACTACTACTGCTGATTGATGCCATTCACTCAACAGGAACGTGTGCGTGTGTCCATTTGCTGTTCAGCTTCCGAATTTCGCTCATCATGCTAAGTTAAAGAGATGATGGGTTTCCAATTCAGATGTTCACTTCCAATGTTTGCTGGGTAATACAGCATACCAGTTCTCATGCTATGCATTCGATTTACAGCAGATTGATCACGCACGGGAATCTGCTCTTAGATGGGTTTCCGAATGCGCAATATTTCCTCAAACTGCGAAATCCCGTCGTAAATGTTGAATTAATGTAACCAAGGTAAATTGATTTTTACATTTCATAATGTTTTGTTTACGTCTTGAGTTATTCTGAGTCACGTTGCTCAAACCAGCAGAACAATCCCTTTTATCATTAAGCTCGTTCACTGGTTAACTAATTGGGTTAAGCATACTGGGACGAATGGCTCGATTGGTAACCTAAAACAGCCCATGTCAGTTTACTAGGTAAGTGCGGTAAATAGGTGAAACTGATTTCAGTTGATATGCGATGCGACAAACAACTGGGGTGCTCAACACTCACACAGTCGCTAACCGATTGGAGAATTTTGCCTGCACACAAGTCTTCGTCAACCAACAGCCACAAAATGTGTATCGTAGAATGCCTATCACAAAGGATAGAGAGATGTCTAAAAATGTCCAACAAAATGCAGGAAGAACACGAAGCCGGTTGGACTATATATAAAACTAAAAAAATGAAAAAGTTCGATTGAACCAACGTTTCCTGGTATGTGGAAGCAAGGGGAAAATGGTACACTCAAAGAAACCCAACAATTTAAATGGTTCTATTGGAGTAGATCAAAATGGCGACCGGATCCGTACCATCTCCATACACACGATCAAACCGGATGAGAGGAAAATTATCATCGAAAAACTCAAATTCAACTTCGAGGATATTTTGTAATCAGGGAGCCTTGCGCAGAACTGAAACAAATTTCTACATCCAATGTGATACATTGAAGAGGAAAAACCTATCATCATTGTCTCAGTTCAATTATCGTCATCCCGCTCGGGGTGTACAGACGAGTTGCCTTGGTCACAGAATAAACTGAGCACATTCAACCGGTTGGGTAAGTAATAAAAGACAATACCGTCCACCAATAAATCAGGTTTGAATTGCATTGATACGATAGAAATGACGAAAGAAGTTAATCAAATAACCTCAGAAGAGCGCGGGAGGATGAAAGTGAAAAACCCGCTTATCGCATAACTGTAAGAACTGCTCGGGATACACAAGGTGAGAAATGCATGGAGACCAGTTGTTTCCTCCCCAGAAACGGTCACGCACTAACTAACGGAGGAATTTCCGAACGAATTGAGGTCACTCATCGTAGGACACGAACAGAGTTTGATCAACCGGAATCAATTGTTGGACCAACTCAATATCGTCAGCATATCAGCGAAGACAACGGGTACACAGGTAGCAGCACTTCAACTGGAAGTTATAGATGCGTCTGGACAAATAGATGGACGCAATCGAAATGGGAAGTGTGTTCTGGCAATATCATGGACACTGTACTTTTCTGTTTAGAAACAGACAAAACTCAGCTGGTCTCACTTCCTTTCGAAACTCATCGGCGCAACTGCTCTGAGTTTTTCAATCCAGACGAGGCAGTTTGGTAGACAAGTATTTCTCATCTGTCCACTCATATCGTCTGCATAGTCACTCACGTGGTCGGTCGACCCGGCTAGAAAATCACTCCGTTATGATAAGGTTACGGCATGATCGTGTGATACATAATTCTGCTCATATACCCCAGTAACAGGTGAAACTGTGCATCTGTGAGGAATTTGTGTGTCCAGGGTGCTTATCGCACACGCGTTCAGTACGTGAGTTATCATGCTGTGCCGAGATGATTCTCCCTTTTGACCTCGAAACGTACATTCCAAATCAGCTGAGAATAGTTCCATCGCTTTGAATAGTCCCGCCATCTTTACGATCAGCGTTTTTCAACATACCATTTCTGGGTTAACAGATCTATGAGTTTGTGTTGAGCACTTGTCAATAAGGTGCCTGAATATCGTGATTGTTAAGATGGTATTTTAACAATTGTTATCTAAAAACATTTTGTCCCAAGTTGAATTCGTTGTGCGAACTATGTAAAAGTCAGCTCACAATGGAGTTAATCATATAACCAGATGTCGTGTTCTCATTCCTATCGATTGAATATCACAATTCAATAAACTATTACAATTTTATTCTAACTTGCTTATACAGGTATTGATCAAACTCGTGCAGCACCCTGTCTGTTATTACTTTTGTTCTTCCCAAAGCGTAGTGTTCCTAGCCTCATTCGTGGGTTTGATTATGACATCAAACGCAAGGTATCGGTAATAATAGCCACTTGTTTTTGCTTCTATCAGTCGAATACCATTAAAATGCACGATTGCTCGATTTTGACGATAGTTATTATTGCATCAGTTGTAAAATAACAAAACCACAGTATAAAAAACATGATTAGAATTTGTTTCTACTAATGACTCACACCCATTGCGGAGGTATTGCACTTTCATTTTGTCAATGTTTTATTTGCCTTTTTATGTTCAAGCACTAGAGGCAGTCGCTTTTGCATGGAGTCGACCAAGTTTACCACCAGACAGCATTCATCGGTTTCCTAATTTTGGAATAGCGTTCTACACTTGTGTTCTCCAACGGGCTTTTGGGCATTTCATCTTTTTTTTCCCTGCTTTTCTACTCATGAACTAAAAACTAATCTTCATAGCATTTCAGTTGAATTCGAGATTCTACTATGTATCTCGCAAGTTCCATGTCCAAATCGCATTGTTGAAACATAGCTAACAAATTTTCTCTCAAAGCCTGGACTATCGGTTTTACCAGTGCTTCATATCAACTCCACTTGATTGGTTTTCATCTTCATCCATCGGATCTCACCTCACACATATTGTCACGATTCATTAGACTCGTCAATTTTTATTGCAACTTTATCCATTGCTCATGAAACCATTGAACAATTTTTCTGAGCTGTGAATGATAGTGACAGAAATTTGATTCTATTTGATGCGAATAATTGTTCGAATAGTGAACTCGGAAACATTGGTTTGTATAATGTATCCATGATCAGTTTGCTGCGTCTGAAATCACGCGAACTGTTATAGTCAATGGAATAACAAACTCGGAGATTAGTGCTGAGATGAGCAGAGTCAACAAGCTCGCAAAGATGGGTTGTGCTATATCGTGTAAATAGAAAATGAAAACGGTCCGGTCAGCTGCCCGGTGGCTGAGTGGGTAGCATGCTTGCTCTCTACCCATGAGGTCCTGGATTCGATTCCCAGTTGGGTCGATGGGTTCGCACTGCTGATGAGACCCAACCAGGTCGGAGCAGCTGTCCAGTGCATCCTAGCTTTTCAGTCCACGTTTCATGTGCTAT